AAAATGATGATTTAGCTACTTTTTCCTTCCTTCTGCTGCTGCTGCTGCTCCTTCTGTTCAAAGGACAGCTGCCGGATGGGAAAACACCATGGCAGTGAAGGACGGAGAAGCATCAAAATTGCACCCCAAAACTGCCTAACGTAACTTCTGAAACCCATAGAAAATGATGATGATGATGATGATGATTTTAGCTACTTTTTCGTCCTGCTGCTGCTGCTGCTGCTCCTTCTGTTCAAAAGACAGCTGCCGGATGGGAAAACACCATGGCAGTAAAGGACGGAGAAGCATCAAAATTGCACCCCAAAACTGCCTAACGTAACTTCTGAAACCCATAGAAAATGATGATTTTAGCTACTTTTTCGTCCTGCTGCTGCTGCTGCTGCTGCTCCTTTTGTTCAAAAGACAGCTGCCGGATGGGAAAACACCATGGCAGTGAAGGACGGAGAAGCATCAAAATTGCACCCCAAAACTGCCTAACGTAACTTCTGAAACCCATATTGCAATGATGATTTTAGCTACTTTTTCGTCCTGCTGCTGCTGCTGCTGTTCCTTCTGTTCAAAAGACAGCTGCCGGATGGGAAAACTCCATGGCAGTGAAGGACGGAGAAGCACAAAAATTGCACCCCAAAACTGCCTAACGTAACTTCTGAAACCCATATTAAAATAATGATTTTAGCTACTTTTTCGTCCTGCTGCTGCTGCTGCTGCTCCTTCTGTTCAAAAGACAGCTGCCGGATGGGAAAACACCATGGCAGTGAAGGACGGAGAAGCATCAAAATTGCACCCCAAAACTGCCTAACGTAACTTCTGAAACCCATAGAAAATGATGATTTTAGCTACTTTTTCGTCCTGCTGCTGCTGCTGCTCAAAATTGCACCCCAAAACTGCCTAACGTAACTTCTGAAACCCATAGAAAATAATGATTTTAGCTACTTTTTCGTCCTGCTGCTGCTGCTGCTCCTTCTGTTCAAAAGACAGCTGCCGGATGGGAAAACACCATGGCAGTGAAGGACGGAGAAGCATCAAAATTGCACCCCAAAACTGCCTAACGTAACTTCTGAAACCCATATTACAATGATGATTTTAGCTACAACTCTAGTGCTGCTGCTGCTGCTACTACTGCTGCTGCTGCCTGCTGGCTGCACCATGCTACTGAAGGACGACTACTACTGCTGCTGCTGCTGGTGCTGCTGCTGCTGCTGCTACAAGAGTCAAAAGTATTATTCCCTGGCGCGCTCCCCCTTGCGTCTGCCGGGGTCGGCGGATAATAATAATAATAATATTAATATATATATATATATTTATTTATTCACTTTTATATTTGTGGGAATATAGATCGGAATAGACACTTTAAAGTTCCATGATATTCCCGTCATATCCCCATTAAACGTTGGTTAAATCAGATAGATCCACATTGTTGGGTGTTATCCACCAGTGACCTCCAGGACATAGACGACATGACTTTTTTTGTGAACTTATTGGAGGCCAGTGGAGATCATGGGATACCATGGGATATAATTTCACTTTTTTACTGGCAATACCCTCTGGTAATTTAACATAGCTAACTGGAAAATCACCATTTTCAATGGGTAAATCCACTATTTATATGGCCATTTTCAATAGCTATGTTAAATTACCAGAGGGTAGTCCCCAAAAAAAAAATCCTCATTGTTGGTGAAATCTCCATTGGTTCGGGTTACAACACACCATGGGTATCCGTGGCTATGGCAGATTCAATCCCATCCTCCATTCAGTCTGACTTTCCCATAGGTTGTGGTCCCCGGAAAACATGTGATGAAATCACCCCTTCATCCCACCATGGTTTATAGGTTGAGAGCGGGGAGGGATTCTCAAAGAAATCAGCCATGGCGCACAGGGATATCTCTAAAACGATACGAAGAGATATGGATGACAATTTGATCGGAAATAATTACTGTAAAGTATGCTCAAGTACACTTACGAATAAATTTTGGGGGCCTGGACTTTCAACCTGTCAATTTATCAGGACAAACATGGGCCAAATTTTTGAGGTACACGTGCATAGAATAAATGGATGGCTGAAGCCTGAAGTGCATGGGAAATCTCCTTTTTCGGGATGACCATGGGGGATTCGTTCCTTCCAAGCCTCTGCGGGGGATGCTGGATGCATTGCGGAAGTGCTTTTTGGTTTTTCATCGAAAACCATGCAGAGTAGGACCATGTAGGACCTGTTTAATCAAATTTTATAATGTTTCCAAAACAGTTCTTGCAATTCATACACCAAGATTTGAATGGTCACGACGACTTGGATTCTCCAAATGTGCCACTCTCGTCCACTCAAACCCGGAGCTAGTGATACCTGATACCATCGGTACAAGGTGGCATCCCCCAAGTATTAGTTGCTTTATGCCATCCAACGATAGATACTAGCAGCTAGCATAGGCCCCAATTGACTTAGCTACTTATAAGGCAACTTAGCCAAGGGGCCATCAAGTGGTACCCCCATGCAAAGGCGTTCTTTGTTGAGAGATGGGGGTGATTTTCATTTTCGGGGAGGTCCTAAGGTGTGGTGTTAGGGCTGTTAGGGAGTCACTTTCGCTGGTCATCGGGGTGTCCATGGAGCCAAGGAAATTATGGTCATCCTCATCCAATCGTTGTGAGGAACCAAATGCACTTTCAGGTCGCAGAATATTGACCTCGACTGCTGCGTTTCGCAACTGGACTTGAATCCTATCGGGTTGGGATGGGCGCCACTCTCAGGCTCCAAGTTGTTTTCAACTTTTGGATCGGGGAAGGTCAGAGCATTTCCTCACCTGACACGGGTTGGGGGGATAAGTATGTGCGCTGTTGATCATTTTCCAAGCAAATCGGAGCTGGCAGCTCAGGCCACATGAATCTGATCCACTCGGGTGTCCTCCACCAGTGAGGAATGCGTTAGATCAGCATCTGCAAAGCAGAGCTGATGATGGAAACCGATGCGATCTGCGAGTGAAAATATGTGTTGCATCGGTTTCCTGGATCATATCTTCTGTGTTTTCCTCTGCCCTCCGGACGTCTACTGAGTCTACTGTAATTCTATGGAACATGCACATTTATACCGCCAAAAATGGTGATGTTCCCATATACAAAACATATGTCCGTGATTCCATCGTCCTCCCCGAAGTTTCTGACTTGGCCATGATGAATTGGTCCCATTGACGGTGATCAAGCAATAATCAGCTAATTACTTTGAATGGCTTCGACACCTATGTGATCTTCAAGGAAAACCTGTTAGTTTTCTGTCCATTACTACTACTGTATTAGATGAACCTAGTTTTTTCCTGGGAAAGGGTTGCTTGGGATTCTTGGGATGTTGCTCCTGTCAGATCTCACCAGATTTCGTGCCAAGAGAAGCCCAGGAAATGCAGAGATTTTTTGTCACTCTGTTCCACCAGGAATCATGAAATTAATGTCTAGATCATTTAAGACTTCACTATGGAAAATCTGAGTTTACTATGGAAAATCGCTGATGTGTCGATATTTTTGTAGCAAAAAGTGATGTAACTGGTCTATTTTCATGGAACTTTCCCATAGCAAACGGCGTTTATCATTCCAGTGGGCGGTTTTTCTCCCTGAGCTGGCAGGGGAAGCCACGCTGACATTTACATCGATGGCAGGTCGCAGCGTTGCGCAGCGGGGCGGAAACAGGGCCTAGATTAACGGTTACCTACAGGGCTAACTCGGCTGTTTTTGGTGGAAATCATCTGGATATATGTGCAGCAAAGCTGGGGGGTGGCATTCTTGTTGCAACATGTTTCTTTGGCCCAACTGGGTTTTGACCTGGAACATCTGGATGTAAGAGATTCCGGATGTGAGCAACAATGATGCCCATCAAAAATGTGAAATGATTGATTCTTTCGATTCTGTCCCCTCCAATTTGAAATTGCTGTCTTGCGCCCCAACCTTAACTGACACACCAGGATTGAAGGTGGGATGTTCACCCCGTTGCTCTGCTCTGGCTTCATGTTACTTGTACATTTCTGTTGCTGTGAGCTATATCTATTTATATTTGCTGGTAATCCCTTCCCCCTAATATCATACATCCCGCATCCCCATTTGGTCTAGAAAAAAAAAACATTGTGGTTCATCCCCTACATCCGTGGTGACTCTGAAAGAGTCGCGCACCCAGCGATCAAAACACATCAGTCGGACACACTTCGGATTATATACCCTCTGGTAATTTAACATAGCTATTGAAAATGACCATTTATAGCGGATTTTCCCATTAATCATGGTGATTTTCCATAGCTATGTTAAATTACCAAAGGGTAGAAAAACTGGGGAAAAGACATCAAGAAACGCTCTGTTTGGATGTCGACCTACCCATTCATCTTCTGGGAGATTCTGGATCCGGTGAAATGGCCACGGCTGAAATGGCCACGGCAAGGTGCCCAACTCTGTTTGCAGAAATGGAACGAGCTGAACAGCGCGTTAAGCAGCGCTGTCACTGGGAAGATGGTGATGGGGGAAGAGAGGGGAAGAACCGGTTGAAGATGGAAGTCATTTTGACTAAAAGATCTCATCATATTCTCATCCAAAAAGATCTCAAAGAATCAGACAATTGACAATGACTTCCATCATTCTAAAAGATCCCATCATTCAATATCATTCCTTTATGGTTTGGGATCTTTGAGATGATGTAGTATCTTAGGCTTATAGAATTAAACTATATAAAACTGATATGTCTATTCTATAGTAGCCCCAAAGGAGATAGAAAGTCATTTGCCATAATTTGCCACTATTTTACAAAGATCTTTCTTTTCTATCTCTTGGGGGATTCATCTTTGTGCATCTTCTGCCAAGGCCCCGACCAAGAAGCGGCGCAGGCAGGGTCCATCCTGGCAGATTCTCATGGCGGCCGACCTTACTGGGAATCATCCCAAAATCGCCGAACTTTTCAGGTTACCCTCTGGTTATGTCAAAATAGCTATTGAAAATGGCCAGTTATAGTGGATTTTCCCACTAAACATGGTGATTTTCCATAGTTATGTTAGTTTACCAGAGGGTAGTGTTTTTTTTTCTATTTTACCGAGATGATTGATTGTTTCCCTTGAGCAGTTTATATGTTTTTTATCGAAAGTCATCATGTTTTTATGTCTAAATCGTCGAACTAAATGACCCGTGGCTTTCATTATGTCATAGCCCATAGCTATGTTAGATTTTAGATTGCCAGGGTCCTGTACTAGTTCACATGAAAATGTGGTCGCTTATGATGGTTCAAATATATTTTGTGCATATGTGCATTTTCAAGGCATGGGTATAGAATGATCATACAGATACATGTTATTTGGCAGAAAATTCAGTTGGAGGTCCGCCTTCTCAAACCACATATCTTCATAGGTGGTGCCCCACAGATGTAAGTTGGTGTATAGCCCCGATAAACTGTGGACATGTGGGGCTGACACGAGCTACCTTTCTGGGGGTATCATCGAATTGCTTGCCTGGGATGGAGATGAAGAAAGATATTTCCCCACATCTTGTTGTGGTTTTATGACGGCAAGTTGTGGTTCTTTCAAGAGTTTTCTCCATTTTACTTCTTGCTCTATCCAGTTAGCGAGAGCGATTCTGAGCTATTGGTATCCGATGGTATCCGTATTCCCTATTATATCAATGAGGGGAGAGTTTCCTAAGCTACACAACCAACTTTGCCGCCGCCCATGTCGAAATTTACTCTCAAGCGGCCCAGCACCTGCAACTGCCTGTGTGGCGCTATGCGCGGAGCTTGACCCCAGCGTTGAATGTGTCAGAACACTATGACATATAAAGCCTCTATAGATACTTGTAACATCCTCTACGGACTACACTTGTTTGGACTTGTTGTTCAGCATCAAAATCGGCATCATCATCATCATCATCATCATCATCATCATCATCATCATCATCATCATCATCATCATCCTCATCATCATCATCATCATCCTCATCCTCATCATCATCATCATCATCATCACCATCGTCATCGTCATCGTCAACCTCATCATCATCATCATCGTCGTCAACCTCATCGTCATCGTCATCGTCATCGTCGTCATCATCATCCTCACCATCATCATCATCATCATCATCATCATCATCATCATCATCATCATCATCATCATCATCATCATCATCACCATCACCGTCACCATCACCGTCATCGTCATCATCATCATCATCATCATCATCATCATCATCATCATCATCATCATCATCATCATCATCATCATCATCATCCTTATCCTCATCCTTATCATCGTCATCGTCAACCTCATCATCATCATCATCATCATCGTCATCATCATCGTCAACCTCATCGTCATCATTATCGTCATCGTCGTCATCATCATCCTCATCATCATCATCATCATCATCATCATCACCGTCACCATCACCGTCGTCATCATCATCATCATCATCATCCTCGTCATCGTCATCATCATCGTCATCATCATCATCATCATCATCATCATCATCATCATCATCATCATTGTCCTCATCGTCATCGTCATCATCATAAGAATAATAATAATAATAATCATCATCATCATCATTATCAGCATCATCCTCATCCTCATCATCGTCATGCTTTCATGTCATGTCATTTCATTTCATGTTATTTCATTTCATTTCATTCGCGGGATATGAGTGGTCTGGAATACAGTTCGACGCTAATCCACCTCAATTAGGGTTTTGGATGATTATGTTGCGTTTTTTGTGTCTGGAAACCATGTTTGTTTTCCAACTACACATGGATCTACTTTGGGGTCCACAACCGAGGCAGCCTCCCAACGCCTGACCCATCATGAAGGACTGCCATGTTCCAAGGTGTCACCTGTTTCGGGCCAGGTGGGGTACACTTGCCGTCACTTGCCCCTCAGGCAAAGAAAGAAATGATCACAATCTTAGACTTGGACAAGTTTTCAGGAAACATCAGGAAACACAACGCCCATCTCAAACCATGGTGGTTTGACTAACTTCTGGAATGTCGGGAAGATTTGGCGCTTCCAGGATGGAAAAATATGTACAACCAGTTCCCTGGAGATGGATCATGTATTTGGTGCTGCCTACTGCATGGTTTGAAAGATGGTTCCTGCAACTTTTACCATTCTCCCCCACACAGAAAACCCCCCGAGCATTGGCAAGAAAGAACCTTGTAAAGAACCAAGGATTTACATCATTTTACATCCCATCATGTCATATCCCATATGGGTTTGTCTGAAAATTTGGGTATCATCCCAAATTTGATGGTTAATCATAATTTTCATTCATTTTCCTTATTGGAACTGAAGGTTCATAAATGTTATATAATATAATCATCATTTTCCCTACTATCTATTGAAACTGCATGAAACTACCATTTTTTGGGGCATGAAACTATCATTTTTTTGGGGCGGCCAGCCCTATTTTCAGACAGACCGTAACCACATTTATCCGTCAGGAGCGAGAGCGACAGGAGATCACCGCGCCAGACGGACGATCCAAGATCGCAGAGCACGGCAGCTGCGATGCATGGTTTGACATCCGGGGAAGTATAGCAGCTCCATGGGCGGAGCACAGCTGGATACAGTGACACTGGTAAACTGCTGGGATCACGGCATATACCCTCTGGTAAACTAAAATAGCTATGGAAAGATCCACCATTTTTCATGGGAAAACCCACTATAATCACTATAAATGATGATTTTCCATATTTATGTTAAATTACCAGAGGGTATGGGGATGGGTCAAAACCTATGAAATATTATCAGAAATTACCATGTGTTATTGAGGGAACCACCATCCATTAACCAACTATATCCAACTATTTTAGTGTATCTAGGGTCCGAGGGTTTTGACCCATAGCCATATAGTAACCGCAGACAGATAAAAGAGTTAAATCAGTTCAATCAGTTAAATCCTAGCAACATTGTAGAAAAATATGTGGAGAAACATGTTGGAATCTAAGCAATAAACATGTTAATTACTTAACAATTTGACGATGTTTGATCTTCCATTTGATGGTTAAGCTCCAAACATTATTGAAACATATCCTCTACTAGTCCCATACCCTCTGGTACTTTAACGGTTTGTAAACTGGAACATCATAATTTTAAATAAACTTTCATAGGTTAATCATCATAAATCATCTATAAATGAACCATGTTCCATATGTTAAATAACCAGAGGGTAGCATGCATGGGAATTAACCCCATTGTTAACCCCAAAAGACAGAACAATGAAAATCCTGTCAGCATAGTGGTAAACTGTTAAATATGTAATGGGTTGCTTAATGGGTAGCCGAGTTTCGTATGTGTAGCTATGGGCATAGACCTGTGTAGGTCTGAACACTGCCACATGGGGTTTATATCGAAGGCAGTGTGATTCTGTTTAACCACTGTAGTGTGGGTATACCGTATACCCTCTGGTTATGTCAAAATAGCTATTGAAAATGGCCCAGTCGAATCTTAGAAATAGTGGATTTACTCATTGAAAATGGTGATTTTCCATAGCTATGTTAAATTACCAGAGGGTACCTTATTCTTGGGCAATTGGTTCATGGTCAGTTTCCCAGCAACGGGGGGATGTCAGATATCATCGATATCAAAGGCGAACCTAAGGCTTAGGACCTAGGGCTACCCTTGCATCGAGGTCAAACGAACTGGAATTAGCATTTAGACCAAGGAAAGTGGAGGTTTTGCCATTGAAAAAATATTTCAACCACAAGAAACTACAGAGAATGCCAGCTAAGACTGAAGAAAACATGTTGCCACAAGTAAAAAAATGGTGTGCAGATACCCTCTGGTAATTTGCCATAACGAACTGGAAAATCACCATTTTCAATGGGTAAATCAACTATTTCGACTGGGCCATTTTCAATAGCTATGCTAAATTACCAGAGGGTATGTGCGGTTTCAATCCATGGTTCATATGTTCAATGCTACCGGGATCACCAAGGCAGAGCCGCTTTCAACCTCAAGGTGATGAGACAGCGATCCTCAGCTGCACCTGGGAATGAAACCATGGAGTTCAACTGACCAGTTGAGCTACAGGACTCCGGCGAATGCCGCCCCGACTTCTTGAAGTAACGAGTTTCCATTGCTATCTCCAAAAAAAAAACAAGGGCAATCACGCGAACACCAAAAAGGTGCCGGATCCACACGGTTTCCTGTGCAATTCCCCAATTAGTCAAAGTTTGCAAAAGCTTTGGAGTTCAGATTGGGTATAGCCAATAGTGCCACATCATGATTGGTTTTAGATGGCCACCGCCAGGATGGACGTTTTTTTCCGGACTTTTGTGTCTTGGTTCACTGTTGGGTATGGCGACCGTGGCTCTTGTCATTTTAAGGATCTGAAACGATCTACTCTTGCCTAATCTGGAGGTCAAGCACTGTAATTTAGGGACATATAGACTTGAAAAATAGACATGCGAGGGAACACCTCTCCCAACTGTCAACAGCAAATCGCTTTGCAGGGCTAGGGTCAGCCATTTGCCTTCTTTGGTCGTTCAAAGTATGGTAGGTTCCTCTCATTTGCCTCACAACTGAATGACGATCCTTGGTGCCTGTGCGACAGATACAAGGTGATATATACACCTATTTTTGGTTTAACTTATTAAGGGATGCTATAACCATCTATAGCCCACTGTCATTACTGATCTTGACTAAGACTGGCCTATTTTTGGGGGATGAACTCGCTACACGCCAATGGATCTGGAGATGTGCCCTAATAAAGTTTTCAGCCCGGGTCTCAATGCAAAAAGCTGGCCTCAGATAAAGGAGGCATCATTCTCCTTATCAGGCCACATCATACTGTTGCGTTAACTTTTGAGGTAAGGGCACGAACGGAGTTTGTCTCAAGAGTGGGCAACAACTTATTTCCAGTTTCAACTTTCAAAACTAGATATATAGCTCTTTGCAAGAGCCTTGAACATGTTGTAAGGCGCCACTTTTTCAACATACCGCATGACTTTCCTGCAAAACTATTGGTTCAAATTCCCCTTTCAGCCCAAAATTGCCATTCTACTCCCACCATTCTTGTTGATTTTGTTGCACGGCTCCCCACTATCTAATCCCATCACCCCAATACAGTACTAAAGGATACTAAAGGCCCCATGAGACCCCCTTTAGCCTTTCAGACTCGGATTCACTATGATTTCTCGGCTTGACATAGTTTGACCATTCTTGACCCATTTTTGGCTGGGATTCAGTTGGCATTTCTCGATCATGTCCCAGGTGGAGTCGAGTATATTTGAGCTGGGAGCTGGCGGAATGATTGTGTACAGCACCATCACCATGGTCTTGGAGGTGCCACAGTTTTGAGTGGTCGAATGAGTCGAATGTCACATTTGACAGTAACTGGTGGTACAATATGGGCCCCCGTTCGATAGCCAAGGTTGGTTTGTATCTACGAAAACTGGGGATAATGGTGGATATATAACATGATATAACATATATAACTATACTTAGATGGGGTTAATTTGGCCATCTAGCAATAGCATTATCTAAGAGAGAGAACCATATAGATTGGGTTATATAACTATACTAGTTAATTTGGGGTTCTACACCAATTTATAACCAGAGGGCCCCGCTATGTCGGTACAGGGAAAATCCGCGTGATCATTGCACTCGTCAGGGTTCCTTCGGCAGGTGGGTCTGATTACTCTCCCCTTTTCAGACACCCTACCATTCAAAGATGTACCCTCTGGTAAACTAACATAGCTATGGAAAATCACAATTTTCAATGTGTAAATCCACTATAAATGGCCATTTCAATAGCTATGTTAAATTACCAGAGGTAATGTTCTTGGGGCAGGCGTTGTGCATCATGACAAAGGCACCTAATGTGGGTGAAACAATGTCATAAACAATCCCCCAGTCATCACCATTTTCTAGCTGGTATTGTTACCATTCCCAGTCATGGGTGGTAAAAATGGCATTGTTTTACCCACATTAATCCCAATAATAGTTAATAGTTGGGTTACAACCCACTACGGTTCCATTTAATTAGATTGAAATCCCATTTAAATGGCATTAGACCAGCATTTTCCCCATGGATTTTCACCGTACCACGTCTGACATGTGTCTCTCAGAACTTGAGATGGCCAGAAGTATTTAGTCCTGTGTCAATCACCGATTGTCCGATTGTCTACTATACCCTCTGGTAATTTAACATAGCCATGGACAATCCCAAAAATAAATGGAGGTATTAATGGGAAAATCATCTATAAATGGACCATTTTCCATGGCTATGTTAAATAACCAGAGGGTAATATAATACGTGCCTCTCTTCAGAGCATTTCAAATGGCAAGAAAACAATGGTTGACTCGTGCTGATTTGAAGAGAATGTGATTGCGGCAAATCCCAAGCAACAGGTCCTATAGGTTTGTTCAAAATCCACTGGTTGATCATGTCCGAACAAAACACAGTGGTGAATAAGTCTGGGGGTGTATAGATCCACTTTCATTTTTTTTTAAATCTTATTATCCCCCATGTTGTTGTTAAATATCCCACTACGTCCCTTTGTATCCATTGTCCACTATATCACTATGTCCCTGCTACATCCGTCAACACAAACACAAATCAACAAACATATAGAAATAGAAAAAACAAAACGCAAAACATGTCATGAAATCATATGAAATACCACTACTTACATTGATGCATCCCCATGATATCCATGAACATCGCCGACTTTTTAGGTGCTTACGTAGTGGGGGCCCTTTGTTATTATGAGTTGGTTTATAACCCCACCTAAGATCATCTAAGTAAAGCTAGTTTATATCTACCATAATCCCAAAGTGAATTTGTAGTGACCCTCTGGTAATTTAACATAGCTATTGAAAATGGCCATAGAAATAGTGGATTTACCCAGTGGATCTTTCCATAGGTTATGTTCACCAACTTTACGATTGACCGGGGGCCCCACATTCCCATGACAGGTGGATCAGGTTGACGTGCCCGTTCTCATCAACTTTTCCGAGGCCATGATCACCTCCTTCTTTCTCACAGCTGCCTGGTTGATGTGAAACCCCACCGGCCCACCGTTTGTTTGATGTGTTTCTTGGCTAGATGTCACCAGCCAAAATGAAAAAAACACATGGTGATTTAACGTGTGTTCACCAGCCAAAATGAAAAACCAAATACACACATTGTGATTTTTTATGTGACTGAAGTAGCCAACATGTAGATTTACCCAGCAAACATGTGGATTTCAATCAGCGCACATGTGATTTCACCCCCCGTTCAAGACCAAAACGGTCTAGTTATCCATAGCATTCTGGGTTATCTGGGTTTAATGGATGAGGTCAAGTTAACCATTCATATTGGGTTTAGGAGTTTGGTTTCTCCTGCATTCTTTCCCTTAGCAATTCTGTACTCAGGACAGCGGCTGCCAGTAGTAGTTCCGGGCCGGGGGGTTGCAACCCGGGGTCCATGTACCAGTTGTGTCCAATTTTGACCGATTGTTAGCAATGTCAACCGCGGATTAATAAACTCTATTGGTCAAGTAGGTGGGCTACCTCAAAAAATAGTCATACAGATTCATACAGTACGATCTTGAACTGTGGTAATTCCTCTATTTATTCGCTTAGTCGGTCTTTGACTCCTGGATCGACATTATGGCAAATCCCCACAAATCCAAACCTTCAAGGTGCTGCTCCGAAGTTTATAACTTTAGAACCCCATTAAACCCCACCTAACTAACACTCAACCCGGTTCTCCCTCGGGGTTCTGTCCTGGGGATACCGCTGTGCGTCACTCAGGAGTGGATCACCCGCTTGCATGCCCTCGGTCGAGACTGGCTCTTCTCTCTGGAGAACCTCTTGGACACCTTCATCGCGGCACGGCTTCTGATTGTTTGTTTGGTGGGTCGCAGATGGTCACACTGCTTAGTACAAGAAGATAGATGGACGATGATGATGATGATGATGATGATGATGATCCATCTCGATCCCCCAGCAAATTCAAGCTACAGAGTTGGCGGCCACAAGCACTATACAGAGGCTTCCATTTTAGTCAGGCTAACCCTGAGATGAAATCCAGGTCCAAGATTTTGTAGCTTAAACTTGTGAATATCATTTTATAAAGGAGTCATTTTAGTCATGTTAGCCCATCATGAAAACCGCAGTGGCATTTTGTAGCATGACATGATGAGCTTCAGACTGGCTTATAAAAATCAAACGGGCCTTTTGTAGCTTAGATGTGGTTCAAGCAATCCGTTGCAGAGCTGCCGCAATACAATGAAAAGGACCAAGCAGATTCAAACAGAACAATTCTGCATGATGATGCATGAATATGCATGATCTGTATTGATCTGTATTGATCTATATTGATCTGTGATGAATGATGATGCTTGATGAATCTTGGTGGGTGATGTTGAAAACAACGTTGCATTTTGTAGCAACGATGTTCCTTTGCATATGCAGTCCTTGAAAATGAGATTGGCATTTTGCAGCAAAGGGTATGTCCTTGAATGATACAGTCGTTGAAATCGAAGGGGCATTTTGTAACAAGGGAAAACCTCCCCCTATGTCAAGGTTGTTGAAACGAAGGGGCATTTTGTAGCTAAGGCTATTTTCGAGAAAAATGGAGCTCAGCAACCTCATTCTATAGCCCCAAGCTTGTGAATCTTTTTTATGCCTTACAGACCAGGGGTCACAACGTCTCCCCTAAAATTCGATGGGGGATCCATCTCGATAAATCCGATCACCACCTTACTGCAACATCACTGTTAAAATGGTTGGGGTAACTCTCCCAAATTGACCTGTATTGAGGTGATCGAATTGTAACTTGTACCTAGGGAGATAGTGAAAAAGTGTGTCTTGTTGGTAGCCAGAAAAGACAAAAACACATAATTTCAATGTTCAACATTCTTAAACTATATTTAGCTATATATTGAGAACTGACGAATATTACCAACCCACCAATACAAACATCGCCTTTTGATTTGCAGATACCGATACCGTGGTTGTTCCTGGACTTGGTAACGCGCGGCCACCTGTTCTGAGGTTTGGGTTCCGGGAGTTTTCACTGTTTGGTGTCTTGGCAGCACTTCGATGCTGCGACTGTCAGGGCCCGTTCAGTTGGTTGCATCGGTGTCGACCACGACCAACAACTGGAGAATGAAGTTGGCGAACTGTTTGAAATGTCTAACGAACTGCTGGGAATGCGGAAAAAAAGTCGTCTGAATTTAACGGGTAAAGACCTGTAGCCCCATTGTCTGGGTATTGGTGAGCTGAGACATGTTTCATGTTGCAATTGTTGGGGGAAGGATAAACTACTTCTTCAGGGGAAGGCGGCCACCTCTATTGGATGCCATTTCAAAGGCTGGGTCCTTGGGTAAAGAACCCCCAAAGCTTGCTGTAAAATCAGGTTCAGTACAGTAACTATTTTCCCATTGTTTCCTTATTCTTCGCGGGTCGCTATCTTTGACTGGTTAAATACAGTTGTTTTCAAAATCCGGCTCATGAAGACATGATCTATTCCATTCTGTTCGTTCTAAATGGCATCCAGGTTCCTTCAGCCCATTTTCGCTGACTCCGGCAGTGGCTTCTTGCCCCTTGGCAGCGCAAGATTGGATAGTTTTCTTCGACCTGGTGGCCATCAGAAAGCTACAGAAAATCCATTCCTTTGTCAAGTGAAGTCTGGACTGAGTTTTTATTGTGCACTGCAAGTGAACATTGCCCCCAAAAAGTGAAGGGGACATTTGAAGCCGCAGTCCGCAAGCTGCACGTAGGGTCAGAACAACGCCCTACAGAGGCCTTCGATTTCTTAGTGTCCCAGAGAGGGTACAGTACTTGGTCCGGCCAGTGGCCTTCTGCTGCAGAGTTTTTGACCACTGGAGAACTACTGAGTCAAAATCTGGAATGCCAGACAAGCTTCTTGAAACATCTTGAAACCACAATGCACTCGTTAGCATTCCCAAACCCACATTGCTTGCATAGAGCCGGGGATGGCAGGAAATGGTAGGGTGACTTTGACAAAGAAGTGGTAACTACTTTCAAAGTGTGAAATGGAGCAAATCGACATAAAATCGGCACCTGGTTTTAACATTTGGCAGACCTTTACATCACCACACTATATACCTCAATCATCATCAATCTACCTCATTAAATTTGTACAGATTCATTATCGCCCATTTTTCAGAGTGGCCCCATACAGCATCCCATTTTCTGTGTCGAATTTTCGCCAGTTCAGGAAGACCATGCGCATCATCCGCATGTTGCGGCTCTTGAGATTGGCCGCTCGGCACATGGATAGACAAAGGGATAGACTGATTGATTCGGATTGATTAGGATTGGCATTTATAGATGCACATCATTACTTTCACACTCTACGCGCTACCTGCTTTCCAGGGTATCGCTGAATGTTTGCATACATAGATCTAGAATGATCTAGATCTCGTAGGCTCTCAGAAGGTCTCAGTGGCTGCCGTGCTGTGAGGTCAAAGTCTTTCGGCCGCTTGGCTTACCATATTTGTTCTCACAGTAAGACTAAGAAACACACAGTCGGACGGTTCTTCAAAATGGGTGTCTTCATGGCAATTCCGATCCCAACTGAGAAATGTGAAAAGTAAAGTATGGCAATTTCTTCAGTTTTTTTTATATGTGCAAGGTCCGAGGTCTTCCAGGTCTTCCAGGTCTTCCATTTCAGGACCAGGACCGCTTCCCCAGGAACCTGCGAATGATGCAAGATCTCTGGATGTTGGTCCGTGGCTTACTGAAGAGTGGCAGACGCTTGGATTCGGCGGGGGTCGACTCACGGGGTTTGTGGCTGGCCCTGGCTGTGAAGTTTGGGAGCAAAAATGGAAGACTCAATGGGGATTTCCTATGGGGGTACCCCAATAGCTGGATAGTTTATGATGGAAAAGCCATGAAAACCCTATGAAAATGGATGATTTGGGTGTACCCCTATTTTAGGAAACCCACAAATGGATCCAAATGGGCCTGTGAAGTTAAGTGTTGGGCATCCATTGCCAATAGCATCCAATAGCTGTTATTGAAGAGCTCTGAGTTTTGATGAGTTCGGTGTCCTGAATGTTCATCCCCGAATTTTAATATGATTATCAGAGGTTTTGACCTACTCCCACATGGTGATAGGTGCTTCAGGGGAGATGAACCTCACATCCAAGATGCTGACATCTTTAAAGTCTGGCTGCAAAAGACTAGGGCACCCCTCCTGGTCATCCGCAACATTGCCGATCTCATTTTGGGAAAGATGTTGAAATATGCTGCAGACAAAGATAGGTAAACGATGAGATGTAAGATGTCTAAGACGCCGATTCCGGTCAACTTGTTCATGGAGCTTACAATGATTTACGTGCACGATGAAAAAAGTTTGCTAACCGTTGGTTTACAACGGAAATGGTATGGTTAGAGAGATCTGGGGTTTTCCTAAAATGGGGATACCCCCAGTCATCATCCATTGTTCATGGATTTTCCCTTATATAACTTATAAACCATCCAGCGAGCTTGGGGTATCCTCCATTTATGGAACCCCCATTTTGGGTAGATAACCAACTATGCCTGGTAGCAGCTACAACATGTCCAACACGAGGCACCTTGGTCTCCGCCTTGGTCCTCATCATTTTCACCTTGCGACCTGATAAATGGTGTAGGGCTGGACTGCCTAGGTCTGGCTGTACAGGAGCTGGCTATTTGAACTTTACCCTCTGGTAAACTGTCACATAACTATGGAAAGATCCATCATTTTTAATGGGAAAATCCAGTATTTCTATGGCCATTTTCAATAGCTTTTTGTATGTTTGCCAGAGGGTATTTGGAAAAAACATTGGGATAAGACTTAAAGAAGATACAGAACTAGCTAGTGAACTACACATGTCACACTTGTTTCTGAACTTTGTTTAGGAATTGTTGAGCTGTTCATGTGCAATGATATTGTTGGATCAGTTTTGGGATGTTATTATGTATATCATATTATTGCATCCTACATTTGTAAGATTATGTAAGTATAAATCATTATGAATTATAAATCTATATATATATATGTGTGTGTGTCACTTTTTGTAGTTACTATGACTATTACTAATCATTTGCCATTTATTGCGTTTTTCCCCAGGTCAATGACCTTGGCATTCCATGGCTGAGATAAGTGGCCGCACGGTGCAGTGAATTCACTGCCAAGTTGATGAGAAAATCTCGCACAGAAACCAAAGAAGATCTAGAAGTCATGGAACATAGTTATAAGATGTTATAAGTTATATCATATCTAACACATACATATATATATATATATTTACATATATACATACAGTTATATATATATATATATTATATGTTACGGTTATGTAAAAATAAGTAAAGATATCAATTTTCGAGGGTTCCATTGGGTAATTCGGGGTTTCAGGATGTTGCTTGACTTCCAGCCTAGGTATGTTTTCGGCATTGCTGCAGTGGACCTCATTGGAAAAGCGGATTATAGTGGCACAGAAGAGGTTCATGGGGCTGTGGGCAAGGGTGCCTTGCTGACCAAGAAAATGCCTTAGTAGTTACTCCCCAGCAGGGACCGCAAGATGAAAAGATTCAATACAAATAGAGGCTTCTGGGCGTCTATTCATCATTAGGGAAGGGAGCAATGGCCTTGAAAAATGGTGTTAATACAGATCAATTGGTAATCTAGAATCTAGATATTCATTTAGCAAGTACTTGCTTTACTTGATGTCAGCCATTGAATTGAGCAGCAAGTCATAGAGAATTTCGGTGGCAGGTTTTGGGGTATGAGGATATGAGGTAAGGGTGCCAAATTTGCCGAACAGCAATTGTTGGTTGCTATAATTGAACATGTACATCATACCCGCTGTTGTTGTTGTTGTTGTTGATCATATTCCTACTGGGTTGGTTCTATCACAGTCATATTCTGTCACCTTTTTTTCCGCTAAATGTCCGCAAACTGCAGATATCCGCCACTGATCGTACAAATCTTTTGGCGATCGCATGCGATCGCAAACAACCAAACCACATTTATGATATTTTATGATGGCATATTGCGCGGCATCAATTTCATGACCTTAAAATCAGCCAAATTTGTAGGATTTTGTAGCTTACTTGCCCCGCCATGGGAGGACGTGCAGGAGGCCCAGCAACGCTTCTTCGGTGCGGCTTCCCAGTGGGTTTTGGATGTTTTGGGGCCCTGGATATGGGAAGGAATGCTTTGATCTTATAACCAGATTATTATTATCAGGATTATCACCCATAGGATCCATGGTGCTGGTATATTTGCTAACATTGGGGGTATATTGATGGTATATTGATGGGATCCATGTTACCATACATAGCATACATAGTATATTAATGGATTATCAGGGAATGATCTTTGCATGCTCTTGACACTGGAACATACTGGAACCCCCAGTGTGCCCTTTTCGCTGTAACTACCATTGTCAAATGTGGCAGACTCTTTACCCTGCATCATGGTGAAACCACGGCTTCAGTTTTGGATCGGCCCGGGGTGGTGTTCTTCCAATGTGCATTTGAAAATCATTGAATATCCTTGGTTATGATAGGTCAATGCATCAAATCAGTATACTGTATATATTAAAAATACTGCAGCCAAGATAAGATGTAGGCTGCATGCTGCCCAACGGATGTTTTTTTGACTCTTCGGTAGGCATCGCCAGGCCACCTACTGTAAATCCCACAAGGTGGTGCCCCAGTTCGTTCACTGGCCATGCAACAGGAACCGATTGATTGGAGGTACCTATATATGTAAGGCCTATTTTTCAATCCTAAATCTCAGGGAATATCCCCACAACATATGGCCAAACATATGGTACAGTACCTCCATTTTAGGATCCTGAAATTCCCATTGATTAGCTAAGTTGGTGCAAATAACTCCAATGTCACTATGGTTTATGGTAGATATACCTATACTATCCTATACTTAATGGGGTTTATAAACCAACAAACATCACTGGTGGGGTACCACATTGTTCGAGGTCCAGGATGTCCAGGTCAGGCCACGTTCTCCGAGGCCTTTGGTATTCGATGCTGACCCTCATCAGGTGCGGAAGATCCGATGAGTTGGGATGCTACATGGTACTACTACTACTACTACTACCACCACCCTACCATGGTGTGATTTCTGTGTTGGGAAATGAGTTGCTAAGTGTATGATCCCAAAATGAGATCCCAAAATGAGATCCCAAAATGAGATCCCAAAATGAGATCCCAGAATGAGATCCCTACAATTCTTGGAATGGGATATGAGATCCCGTTGCAACTCATATGGATTGTTGAATTAGCGCAATTTTCCCGGACAAAGATCCGCGGAGACTGAGCTCTTTAGATACCTTCAGTAACTTTCTAAGGAGTTTCAGGGCTGGAGACCCCAAACCGCCGAGGAACTATATAGGTTGATGACCCAAAGATTCAAGACGTTGGACACGTTGGTTGCTACAGATGAAGAGTCTTTGGGGGTTCATCAAGATGGATGAAATCGGATGAACAAAATCATCTACCTCGAGCCTCAATCTAAGAATCTACCTCCCACCCAAGGGATGTTCATTTCCCACTCAACCCGCTCCCGATGAACCTGGAGGTTTCTGAGGGCCGACGATTCACAGGACATCATGGACGCGCTGATGCAACAGCAGCCCTACATTTGGCCCCTTGGAACTGGGGAACTGGATGAATTTCAGAGGGCTTATCCTCTGGTAATTTGTTACAGTTTGCTATTGAACATGGCCATAGAAATCATGGATTTTCCCATTAAAAATGGTGATTTTCCATAGTTACGGGACAGTTTACCAGAGGGTGATGGTGATTTGGGATGATGGATGATGGGATATGATGAGTAATTTCTAGTAACTACAAGCTACAGATTGTCACCCCTCCTTGCTGAAATCAAGAACTTCGAACACCTCAAAGCAAACGGGAAATATGATAAATATGGTTGCGCCCTATTAATCAGTCCGCAACTGACTTTGAAACAAATTATATCTAGTGGTTGGTGGTTTGGAACACTTTTTTCCATATATCGGGAACAATAATCCCAACTGACGAACTCATTTTTTTTGAGAGGGGTCAGCTCAACCACCAACCAGTTTAACAATAACCAGTTCAACAATATGATATATACTCGCATGATATGTTGCTGTGAAAATGGGGATGCCCATAAAATAGGGCAGTTGTGAACTGACTAACTATCTAACCTGGTTGGTGGTTTGGAACATTTCTTATTTTTCCATATATTGGGAATAATAATCCCAACTGACAAATATTTTCAGAGGGGTCGGTAGGTATACCACCAACCAATCTAAATTGGTTGCCCCCCGAACCAACTCGCGCACCGCTTCGAGCCACAACCTTTTGGCGCCCAGGATTTTTCTTTGGACCTTTACAGCCTGGGCCTATCTCGTCACTCGTTGCTGTACACGTTGCACCATCCGACGCATGGTCGGTTGTTCAATGGTTCATGACGGTAGTTTTACCCTCTGGTAAATAGCATAGCTATGGACAATCAGTATTTTTAATGGGTAAATCCACTATAAATGACAATTTTCAATAGAGAGAGAGAGAGTTTCAATTCTCAAATTATAGGAATATCACACCTTTGCAGCACCAGGTCCCACCCGCTTTTCGTGGTCAGGTGCTCTCCAATTTGGTGACTGCCCTCATTTGTAATGAGGCCTTTGAGATACCAAACTGCACAAAACGGGGGAAAATGAGTGGGATTGGATTTATGCAGGGTGAAACCCTAGGGGTAGTTTTGAATGGATGGGTCGAGAAAGAAATTGAGATGTATGGGATGAAAATCCCCAGGCTAGTTTCGCAGTAAATTAAGAAAAGACTCAAATCCGTGGTGTGTTTTTCCCATAACAACGAAAGAGACATAGACTAATCATGGCTAATCAGTTAAGCAATGTTAAGCAGCAACATGTTCTTTAGGGTATCTAGAAAGATTAGCCATAAACGGGGATTTTAGATTACTAACCTCTAAAGTGAATATGGTAATATTTTTCATGCCAAAATTTGAAGGTTCATTTTTCACAAGAGTAGATTTTTCAGCCATTGGATCTCGGGATGAGATCAACAGTTAAGAAATATGTTTTTTTTTTTCCCAGGGTGGTGTCTCAACCACAAAGCCGTTATATATACCATCTGGTTATTTGACATAGCCATGGAAAATCACCCTTTTTAATAGGTAAACCATGATAAACCATCTGTAAATGGGCCATCTATACCATGGCTATGTGAAATAACCGGAGGGTATATATATATATATATATATGTACATATAAGACAGTAATAATGTGCGTGTTGATGAGGCTTTTAGCTCGGCCATGTGAGCCCTGCTGGTTTCTTAGTTGGGGCTTCCCAAGGACCTCCAAGGCCGATGAGGCTGATTTGGCCAAACAGCAGCTTGGTGTCGGGGACGTGTTTGATTTGTTTCCACATGGGTCAAACACGTTCAGAAACCTCAGGTTTGGTCAATGTCCAGTATATGATTGTATTATTATTATAGCATCCAACTATTGGCATACAGAAGCAAGGAAAGAAAGCAATTGTTGAGAAACAATTATGGGCCGGTATCCCATTGTGACTCCACAATTATGTTTTTCAGCAGTGAAAAAGTAGTGAAAACCGAGAATATGACATGAAACAAACTGTACATTGGGTTGATGCCAAAACTTGGATTGATAAATCCCTGGCTGAGGATTCTTTGGGATTTACCTTCAAACAATGGATAATTTGCAATTGAAGTAGCACCTTCCACTGGAAGCAACTATTTTATGTTAACAAATCAAAGATCGACCACGGTCACACTGGGCACATTTGAGCACCTAGGCTGATGTTGCAGAAAGAGGAGGAGATTGAGAACTTGAAGGACTGGTAGCCACTTCTGAGATTCTGGTGGTCTGATTTTGGGGTCGACTTCAGACTTCAGCGGCTCTTCGAGGTTCTGAAATGAATTTATGATCAAGTATGCTGTATGTACCAGTAGTACCGCACAAGGCGGTGGCGGAAGTTTCAAAAATGGAAAACTTATAGGAGAGGTGACTTGGTGTGACGCAACAATGGCAGAGCGAACCCACTGATGGATTGAAAGGTGAACCTAAAACCATCAAGAACCTAAAACCATCAAGATCAAACAAAGATTGTTTGAGACACAACCCGTGTTGTGAGAGCTAACCCGTCTTAAGTGAAGATGGACATTCTCATGACTAAAAACCAAGCATCTACACATCATTCATAGGATGACAGTCATATCATCACAATACCAACATATTGAACATATTGATGAATCCACCATGAAAGGACAACCAATATTCTCTCATCCAATGGACATGTTCCTACCATAAGCGTCGATACAGGATTAAAGAGACAGCTATCATGCAATGGTATAACCCACGGTTATGATCGTACAGAAAAACATGAAGAAATGTTACCCATCCCTCCGACGTGTCTGCCTCACGGTGTCGCGGCAGCTTGTTTTTTCCTAGCAACAGCGGACAGGAATCTTCGGCTGCCGCTGTGCTGGCGTGCGCCATCGTGCCGTCAGAAAAACAGACCCGAGCCCGGGCTTGGCTTGAATCCCACGTATATCTATCGATCTATCTATCGAGCTATCTATCTATCAATCTATCTATATGTCTGTCTATCTATCATTTTTTCTATCCATCTATCTATCGAGCTAACTATCTCTCTATCTATTTGTCTATCTGTCTATCTATCAATCAAATTCTCTCTCTCTCTCTATATATATATATATGTGTATATATCTGTTTATCTGTCTATCTGTCTATCTGTCTATCTATCTATCTATCCATCCATCCATCCATCCATCTATCTATCCATCCATCTATCTATCTATCTCTCTATGTATCTATCTATCTCTCCATGTATCTATCTATCTCTCCACGTATCGATCTATGTATCTATCGATGTATCTATCTATCTATCTATCTATCCATCCATCCATCCATCTATCTATCTATCTATCTATCTATCTATCTGTCCTTCTATCTGTCTGTCTGTCTGTCAGTCTATCTGTCTAGCCATTTATCTATCTATCTCATCTACCCAGCTGGCCTCTCTCTCTCTCTCTCTTTCATCTAATTACCTATCTATCTATCTATCTACCTACCTGTCTATCTATCTCTCCCTTTCATCTGTCTATCTGTCTAGCTGTCTACCTGTCTATCTGTGTTGCAGTGTCATTCAATGTAATGTAGTGTGGTGTAGTGTAATTTAGCGTAGTGGAGTGTACTGGAGTGTAATGTAATGTAATGTAGCGTACTGGAGTGTAGTGTAGTGTAATGTCCTGTAGTGTAGTGTATTGAAGCGAAGCGACATCTGAACCTCCAAAAAAAAGTGGTCCGGACCTGGTGTGTTTTGTACATTTTGACTTGGAAATGTGCTTCGCGCCACAACGGCGTGCACTTTTTCGACATCCGAACCTCCAAAAGTGGCGCGAACATGTGGTGTTTTGTACATTTTGACCTGGAAATGTGCTTCGCGCCACAGCAGCGCGCACTTTTTCAACATCCGAACTTCCAAAAGTGGCGCGAACATGCGCGAACATGTGGTGTTTTGTACATTTTGACTTGGAAATGTGCTTCGCGCCACAACGGCGTGCACTTTTTCAACATCCGAACCTCCAAAAATCCCGCGAACATGTGGTGTTTTGTACATTTTGACTTGGAAATGTGCTTCGCGCCACAACAGCGTGCACTTTTTCGACATCTCAACTTCCAAAAGTGGTCCGGACCTGGTGTGTTTTGTACATTTGGACCTCAAAATGTGCTTCGCGCCACAACGGCGTGCACTTTTTCAACATCTCAACTTCCAAAAGTGGTCCGAGAATGGTGTGTTTGTGCATTTTGACTTCAAAATGTGCTTCGCGCCACAACGGCGTGCACTTTTTCAACATCTCAACTTCCAAAAGTGGTCCGAGAATGGTGTGTTTTGTACATTTTGACTTCAAAATGTGCTTCGCGCCACAACGGCGTGCGCTTTTTCAACATCTCAACTTCCAAAAGTGGCGCGAACATGTGGTGTTTTGTACATTTTGACCTGGAAATCTGCTTCGCGCCACGACGGCGTGCACTTTTTCAACATCTCAACTTCCAAAAGTGGTCCGAGAATGGTGTGTTTTGTACATTTTGACTTCAAAATGTGCTTCGCGCCACAACGGCGTGCACTTTTTCGACATCGCAACTTCCCCGCTGGCTCCGCACCCGCCGCTTTAGCGAGCCTACTTTTTGACCCTCCGGAGCCCCAAATCATTGGAAAAACACAGTGTTTCGCGACTTTCCTACCTTTTCGCCCATCTCCATCTTCTTTCTTCTTACCCTTTCTCTTCTGATCTTCTTTCTTCTAATCTTTCTCTTCTCTCTGCCTCTTCCCTGCTCTGCTTTTCATCTATCCATATTGTCGGAAGTTTGACTTCTAAACTTCCTTCGATGATTTTGCTTTATACATTCACTTCAGTATCATGTGTGCAGACTGCAAATATAAAGATTTCATGTGTGCTTTCAGACTCGTCTTGGAATCAGTTCTTAACAGCGGATTCGCAAACAAATTGATCTTTTAAAGACTGAACTTCAGCTAGAATACTTACAACCTTAAGTACTGAACATATAGTATCCACACATATATATATATATATAATAATCACATAGTCAAATATATCTTTGATACTTCTCCTATGGGATTATTGAAGAAACCACATCAACAACGATTCCAATTTCTTGAAGGTTCTTCTACCCAGGTGACCAAAAGGTCGGTCTTGTGACCCTCAGGTGACCAGCAGGCTACGCCCGAGAGACACCCACGGGTATGTCATATATATATATATATACATATTATGTATATATATATATATGGGTCACACCACCATTTTTTGGGTGTAAAACTACACATGTTTTGGGATAGAGCACCGTTTTTTGTGGGTACTTGGACTTGGGTCTAGGTATTTCAATGGTATTTCATATATTTTAGATTATTTTTGTAAGATGGGAATGACATTTTTGGATCAGTTTCTGATGTTTCCGGCGGTGGATGTCCCAGCATGTGCCAACTGTTGGTTGGGTGTACCATCTCCATTTTTTGGCCAAAAAAAAACTAACTTGGCCCCGCTAGGGCCTAGGGTTTTTGAACATTGACCTCTTGGAACGCTTGGGGGAAAACTATTCCACAGTAGGATCCGGTAAGATTCCCAGAACATCCTCATGACTCATGACCCATTGAACAGCTGGAGGGTGCAGTGGTATACAACAATCTCCTTGGTCTCTAGCAATCGAATATGTTTGGCCTGCTTTTCCTATCGGTAAACCAATATACCTTCCAGTAAATTGAAAGAAAAAAATATGGAAAAAAAAACCAACATAAGCCAACCGTGGTTTCTTATCCTGAAAAGTGATCTGCACGTCTGGCTCCATCTATGCTACGTACATTTCAGCGCACATATATATATATATATATTTATATGTATATATATATATATATGTGTGTGTGTATACATATATGTATAAATACATATGTACATATATATATATATATGTAAATATATGTATATATATATAAACATACATATATAGAGAGGATTCGCCATTGCCATGTTTGATTTCCTTTGGGAACATGTCTGGATCAGTGGCGGCCAGGAGATGTTTGTGGAACTGGATGAGGACGGTAGCGGCCAGGCGTTCGGAGGATGATGATCTTGGATGATCTTGAAAAACCATAGGAAAACCCATGGGAAAATGGGAAAACCATAGGAAAACCACCTAGGAAAATGGAGGTTTACCCTCTGGTAAACGTTTACATAGCTATAGCAAACCATTTTTAATAGGTAAAGCATCTATTTCTATGGGCCATTTGCAATAGCAAACTGTTAGTTTACCAGAGGGTAGCAATTAGCATAGACGTCATCAGCACAATTACACTTAAATGTGATTTTGACTGCATTTAGCCAGCCAAGATGCAGTGAATTGGTAGTTTCTCATGTGAAAGTTTTCCGCCAGAAAAACGCCAGAGATGTGTCGGTGTAGGTAGATCACCTGGAGGGGAGACCAGCATCACCATCCCCAATTGGGCTTTAAGAAACCCTGTGACTGGGAATGACTGGGAGGATGTTTATTACAACACCCAGTCATGGCTAGTGAATGGATATATTTTTTTTCATGGATATATATATATATAGCCAGATCAATGCGTCATGGTCAGGTGACCGAAGTAGAGTTCAAGAATGCCTTCAGCATCGAAGTGCCTTGCAAGCACTTCTGGTTGTTTTTTTTTGGTGTTTTCATTACTTCTATAGCCTAGTGCCCCAAATATCTTCGGAGAAGCTATTTAGACCCCAAAACACAACCCCAATCACAATCTCGGAACATGTTTGGAGCTGTAGGGATGTGTTTGCTGGTATATTGTTCTGGGTAAACCTTGGTTTGGTGCGCCGAAATTGCGTGCTTTGGCCATTGCCAGCGGAATTTCATATCATGTCATATCATTTCATATCATGTTCTATCCGCTTACTCATAGCCTGTTTGCATGGTATGACAGGCTATATCCATTTATTAAGGGCTGACGCCCCTCGTCGGCTCCGCCGGATTTCTCGACCCTCCATTTCATCGCAGTGTGGGCTTGAAAGCTTTTGGATGGGGACCTGCTTCAGAAATATATTCCTTATGTTTTTTTGAAAAAAGGTCATGGCATAGGAACTTTGTTGGAAATAGACGGCTTTTTTGGGGAGCAAGTGAGTTCCCGAAAGCTCCTGCCAAGGGTTTTTCCCGAAGAACTGCTGCCAATTTCAACTTGTTACTTCGTGTAAAGGTGCCTCTGTGCAAAGACTTCTCTGTGTAAAAGCTTTTGTGTGTAAACGTTTCTGTGTGTAAAAACCACTTTGTGTAAAGACTTCTTTGTGTAAAAGCTTCTGTGTGTGAAAGCTTCTCTGTGTGAAACGTCTGTGTAAAGATTTCACTGTGTGTAAAAGCTTCCGTGTGTAACAAATCTCTGTGTAAAGTGTAAAGGCTTCTCTGTGTAAAAGCTTCTGCGTGTAAACGCGTCTGTGTGTGAAAGCTATATATCTCTGTAAAGACTTCTTTGTGTAACAGCTTCTGTGTGTAAAGGCTCCTAGACGTTTGTGTGCAAAAGCTCCTTAGAGTAAAGACTTCTCTGTGTAAAGCCTTCTGTGTGTAAAAAGCTCCTTTGTGTAAGGACTTCTCTGTGTAAAAGCCCCTGTGTGTGTAAAAGCTTGCTGTGTGCAAGTGCTTTTGTGTGTAAAAGCCCCTCTGTGTAAAGGCTTCTCTGTGTAAAAGCTTCTGTGTGCAAACGCGTCTGTGTGTAAACACTCTCTCTGTCAGGCCTTCTTCGTGTAAAAAGTTCTGTGTGAAAAAGCTCCTAGACGTTTGTGTGCAAAAGCTCCTTGGCGTAAAGACTTCTCTGTGTAAAACCTTCTGTGTGTAAAAAGCTCCTTTGTGTAAGGACTTCTCTGTGTAAAAGCCCCTGTGTGTGTGTGTAAAAGCTTGCTGTGTGTAAATGCTTTTGTGTGTAAAAGCCCCTCTGTGTGAAGGCTTCTCTGTGTAAAAGCTTCTGTGTGCAAACGCGTCTGTGTGTAAAAAGCCCTCTGTGTAAAGACTTCTTTGTGTAACAGCTTCTGTGTGTAAAGGCTCCTAGACGTTTGTGTGCAAAAGCTCCTTAAAGTAAAGACTTCTCTGTGTAAAGCCTTCTGTGTGTAGAACGCTCCTTTGTGTAAGGACTTCTCTGTGTAAAAGCCCCTGTGTGTGTAAAAGCTTGCTGTGTGCAAGTGCTTTTGTGTGTAAAAGCTCTCTGTGTAAAGGCTTCTCTGTGTAAAAGCTTCTGTGTGCAAACGCGTCTGTGTGTAAAAACTCTCTCTGTCAGGCCTTCTTCGTGTAAAAAGTTCTGTGTGAAAAAGCTCCTAGACGTTTGTGTGCAAAAGCTCCTTGGAGTAAAGACTTCTCTGTGTAAAACCTTCTGCGTGTAAAAAGCTCCTTTGTGTAAGGACTTCTCTGTGTAAAAGCCCCTGTGTGTGTAAAAGCTTGCTGTGTGTAAATGCTTTTGTGTGTAAAAGCTCCTCTGTGTGAAGGCTTCTCTGTGTAAAAGCTTCTGTGTGCAAACGCGTCTGTGTGTAAAAAGCCCTCTGTGTAAAGACTTCTTTGTGTAACAGCTTCTGTGTGTAAAGGCTCCTAGGCGTTTGTGTGCAAAAGCTCCTTAGAGTAAAGACTTCTCTGTGTAAAACCTTCTGTATGTAAAAAGCTCCTTTGTGTAAAGACTTCTCTGTGTAAAAGCTGTAAAAGCACCTGTATGTGTAAAAGCTTCTGTGCGACTCCTCCATCCAGCTTTCTTTCGGGTCACGCTGTCGTCCAGTTTCAATCTGCAACATTGTTTCTTGTGGAAGAATGCAAAGAACAGGTGAAAGCATCGCAGGTTAAAAAATTGAACATAAACAGGGCACAGAGTGCTGTAATTTACAACATTTTGCGCTGTCAGATGGCAAGAACCCGCGTAAATACCGCAGTTTTAGTCCCCAAAAGTGGCTAAAACACGGTTATTTACAGGGTTTCGTTCACGTCACGATCTTCGATCTTTTGAAAAACGCGTAAATACCAGCGTTTTTTGCGTTCATCAACGCAAAAAATCGGTTCAAAAAGGGAAGAAAATGCTGTAATTTACAGGGTTTGGTGCCGTCACGGGCAAAAAAAAAGCGTAAATACCAGCGTTTCGGCGTCCAAAAGTGGCCAAAACACCGCTATTTACAGTGTTTCGTGCCGTCCACGTTTTCTTGAAATTGCAAAAACCGTGTAAATTGATCGCAAAAAATGCTGTAATTTACAGTGTTTTTTTGCTTGGCTTTCAAAAACACTGGTATTTGCAGTGTTTTGTGCATCTTGGGTCCAAAAAGTATTGGTATTTATAGCATTTTCTGCGTTTTTGCATGGCTCCCGCAAAAGACGTTAAAACGCAAAAATGCTGTAATTTACAGCATTTTGACCATTTCGAAAAGCTGAAAAGCGTCGGAAAAATGTGTCAAAACGGCACTTTTTTCCGATTTTAGGTACCCTCAAAATCGGGGGGGGGGGCCTTTTGCTCTTGGAGACGCTTATGAGCGACCCGGATTCCGGCCAAAAAGCTCTCCCCCACCCTCCTGAAGGATTTTTGGTGGTTTTCGGGGCCCGGCGTTGGAGGGTCGGCGGCTTGGGGCGCACCTCACCATAGAGCTCTAGTCGCTCTGGGACGCTCGTAGGGCAAGCCACTCGTGGGGAGCCGGCGGAGCCGAATTTAAGGGCTAACGCCCCTCGTCGGCTCCGCCGGATTTCTCGGCCCTCCATTTCATCGCAGTGTGGGGGCTGGAAAGCTTTTGGATGGGGACCTGCTTCAGAAATATATTCCTCACGTTTTTTGAAAAAAAAAAGAACAGGAACTTTGTTGGAAATAGACGGCTTTTTTGGGGAGCAAGTGAGTGCCCGAAAGCTCCTGCCAAGGGTTTTTCCCGAAGAACTGCTGCCAATTTCAATTTGTGACTTCATGTCAAGACGCCTCTGTGCAAAGACTTCTCTGTGTAAAAGCTTTTGTGTGTAAAAGTTTCTGTGTGTAAAAACCACTTTGTGTAAAGACTTCTTTGTGTAAAAGCTTCTATGTGTGAAAGCTTCTCTGTGTGAAATGTCTGTGTAAAGAGTTCACTGTGTGTAAAAGCTTCGGTGTGTAAAAACTCTCTGTGTAAAGTGTAAAGGCTTCTCTGTGTAAAAGCCTCTGTGTGTAAACGCGTCTGTGTGTGAAAGCTATATATCTGTGTAAAGACTTCTTTGTGTAACAGCTTCTGTGTGTAAAGGCTCCTAGACGTTTGTGTGCAAAAGCTCCTTAGAGTAAAGACTTCTCTGTGTAAAACCTTCTGTGTGTAAAAAGCTCCTTTGTGTAAAGACTTCTCTGTGTAAAAGCCCCTGTGTGTGTAAATGCTTTTGTGTGTAAAAGCTCCTCTGTGTAAAGGCTTCTCTGTGTAAAAAAAGCTTCTGTGTGCAAACACGTCTGTGTGTAAAAACCCTCTCTGTCAGGCCTTCTTCGTGTAAAAAGTTTTGTGTGAAAAAGCTCCTAGACGTTTGTGTGCAAAAGCTCCTTAGGGTAAAGACTTCTCTGTGTAAAACCTTCTGTGTGTAAAAAGCTCCTTTGTGTAAGGACTTCTTTGTGTAAAAGCCCCTGTGTGTGTAAAAGCTTGCTGTGTGTAAACGCTTTTGTGTGTAAAAGCTCCTCTGGCTGAAGGCTTCTCTGTGTAAAAGCTTTTGCGTGTAAAAGTTGCTGTGTGTAAAAACCACTTTGTGTAAAGACTTCTTTGTGTAAAAGCTTCTGTGTGTGAAAGCTTCTCTGTGTGAAAGCGCGTCTGTGTAAAGATTTCACTGTGTAAAATTCTCTGTGTAAACGCTTCTCTGTGTAAAAGATTCTGTGTGTAAACGCGTCTGTGAATGAAAGCTATATATCTGTGTAAAGACTTCTTCGTGGAACAGCTTCTGTGTGCAAAGGCTCCTAGACGTTTGTGTGCAAAAGCTCCTTAGAGTAAAGACTTCTCTGTGTAAAACCTTGCGGCCAGGTTTTGGCAAAAACGGCCGTTTCCCAATGATCCCAGAAGAGAAATTCAATAGCCGGCCGAGGGGCCGCCAAATGGCAGAAATTTGCTTCCAAAAGGCTCCCGGCCAGGATTTGGCCAAAAACGGCCGTTTCCCAATGATCCCTGAAGAGAAATTCAATAGCCGGCCGAGGGGCCGCCAAATGGCAGAAATTTGCTTCCAAAAGGCTCCCGGCCAGGATTTGGGCAAAAACGGCCGTTTCCCAATGATCCCAGAAGAGAAATTCAATAGCCGGCCGAGGGGCCGCCAAATGGCAGAAATTTGCTTCCAAAAGGCTCCCGGCCAGGATTTGGCAAAAACGGCCGTTTCCCAATCCCAGAAGAGAAATTCAATAGCCGGCCGAGGGACCGCCAAATGGCAGAAATATGCTTCCAAAAGGCTCCCGGCCAGGATTTGGGCAAAAACGGCCGTTTCCCAATGATCCCAGAAGAGAAATTCAATAGCCGGCCGAGGGACCGCCAAATGGCAGAAATTTGCTTCCAAAAGGCTCCCGGCCAGGATTTGGCCAAAAACGGCCGTTTCCCAATGATCCCAGAAGAGAAATTCAATAGCCGGCCGAGGGGCCGCCAAATGGCAGAAATTTGCTTCCAAAAGGCTCCCGGCCAGGATTTGGCTAAAAAAAAGCTTTCT